ATAAAATCATAATTATCTGAAACAAACATTCAGTATAAACTACTATCTGCTGCATCTAAATTGTCTGCTGAAATGATGTATGTTTAATACAATAGACGTGGCGCCAATAAAAATAAATTTCAAAGAAACATATGTCACTGTCTTCTATTCTTCTAATCAATGACACTTTTGGCTTCGATATAATACATAAATCAACGCTTTAAATAATGTAATATTATAATGGCGACGATGGGTAGATGGAGAATTTACGCGTAAAAGAAAATGAAAGTTAAATAAAACTGATCGCAATAAATTTGCACATGTGAAATTGTGCCTTTTTTGGTATATGGATTACTTGCCGTTTTTCATGTCACCTGTTGAACATGTATGCAGAGTTTATGGACAAACAGTGGTACAAGTGTGATATATTCATTATTTAAAGTGTAAATAGACTTTCGGTCGTCATAAAAAGAAGTGAACAACGTTATGTCCGATGCAATTTTTCGAACATTGTAAGTCTTGCATTATATAAGAACATTCTCTAAATGTAGCGCGTCAGTAACATAACTAATTAATATAAAAATGCTAACAGTGTCCCTCCAGTCAATATAAAGATTTAAAATCACCAATCGACTATTATATGGTAAGGGTGTCACTCCAGTCGATTTAGAATAAGGGAAACAAGCCAATGATCATGGTAAAAGTTTTCTTCTAGTTGATGTCATTAACAATAACCGATTTTTAATTATATGTTTAAAGTGGCCCTCCAGTCGATCTAAAGAGTTAGTAACACGAACCAATTATGAATAATAGTAACAGTGTCACTCCAGTCGATGTAGAGGGTCAGAAAAATAAACTAAGTATTAATTATATGGTAAAAGTCTCCCTCCAGTCGATGAACATAGTAATATATATCTAGTATTATTTCTGAGATATATTTTATTGCATATAACAGAATTGTTGTTTTCATTGACCGAAAGTAATAGAAACAATCAGGTGTTCTTACAATGAGAATATTCAAAATCAATCTTTCCAAAATCATTTCATGGATGCACATTTCACATACCCCTAAGAAAAAAGAATCTTCAGCTGTGCCACAGCTACCGAACAATCAGCCTCATCAGTCACGCAAGCAAGGTTATATTTAAGATCATCCTTAACACAATGAAATCTGAAGCAATCCATATCACTGCCGAAGAAACAGGTTGGTTTCAGAGCAAGACATAACTATATGGAACACCTCTTCAGCCTTAGAATCTTCTGTGAAAAGTATCTGCAGTATCAATATGACTTCTACCATGTCTTCGTTGCCTTCAAGAAGGCTTTCGAAAAAACATTGCATGCAGCCTTGTGGGCCTCAATGCGGATATACAACATCAACGCAAAATTAATCAGTACCATAGAAAACCTGTATGTCAAGACGGCCAGCGCCTTTCTTGTCAATGGTAATACCAGTAGATTTGTTCTAAACCATAGCTGGAGTCTGACAGGTCGCTTCCTATGTCAGCTAATGGGAATCTGAGTTGTTCTGGCATTTTTGAGGATAGACGGAAGCGTTTCCTCACCATGATGTAGTTAATCTGGCTGTGGTATTTTCTGTTTTGACTATGCAAAGTCCGCACTCTAGATAGTTTGTCGGTGTCAAGTATGCTCGTTAGCACTAGTTAATTGTAGGTGGCCAGGTTCAGGCGCTTAAGTTCTTTCATTATTCTGTTCATCACAATATGGATACAGACATCTGGTTATTCTGCCTGTGTGTCTTCTCCTACCTTGGCTATCCAGTCTACTTGAATAATTAGACTATCCTTCTTGGGTGGCAGGTCAATGACAGTTTGAAGTTGGTTGTATAACCCATCTACTTCTTCATCACCGTGGTTAGACGTTGTGGCATAGTATATGTGATGATGATGTTGAAAAGAGATGTCCTCAAGCGCATAGTAATCATCCTGTTAGACACGGGTCGACAATGGACTGCACTCACAATGTCCTTATTTACAAAACATCCGATTCCATCCTCATATTTATCTTCATGTTCACTGAGGAAAAATAGTTGCATATGTTTAATAGAAGACAATATTATCTCGTCTTCTGTGTTTAATCTGTTAGATATGTATGTATGTATGTATGTATGTATGTATGTATGTATGTATGTATGTATGTATGTATGTATGTATGTATGTATGTATGCATGCATGCATGCATGCATGCATGCATGCATGCATGCATGCATGCATGCATGTATGCATGCATGCATGCATGCATGCATGCATGCATGCATGCATGCATGCATGCATGCATGCATGCATGCATGTATGTATGTATGTATGTATGTATGTATGTATGTATGTATGTATGTATGTATGTATGTATGCATGCATGCATGCATGCATGCATGCATGCATGCATGCATGCATGCATGCATGCATGCATGTATGTATGTATGTATGTATGTATGTATGTATATATTTATGTATGTATGTATGTATATTTATGTATGTATGTATGTATGTATGTATGTATGTATGTATGTATGTATGTATGTATGTATGTATGTATGTATGTATGTATGTATGTATGTATGTATGTATGTATTTATGTATGTATGTATGTATGCATGCATGCATGTATGTACAAGTGATCGTACACATAGTGCAATCGTAAGGGTAAGAGTAGACTACGTAAATTTATTGTTTTTCTTTTCCAGTTTGAATCATTGGATGAACTATAAAACTATAAACTTCCTTCAGTACACAACTCGGACACTTAATGTTAAAATTAACTCCATGTTCTCAACCATCTTTACTTTGAAAGATGATATGTGTCTTAACGTCAGTTTGATTTAAATTGAATTTTTCAGCTCAAACCTAACTTCATAAGTTCTATCTTAAAGTGAAAAAGTTCAACTTTTTCTCTTGTAAAGTATCACCAATGAACCACTTTGAATCCAATCTTAATTTTGCGACCTGAAATGTGATAGAAGAAATCATTCAATGTACACCGATGGAACGAAAAATCCCACCCGAAATTGATAAGTTTGCCCCACACTCAAGGCTTTTGATAGGGATATTACACTACTGAGATATGAATTTGCGTCATATACTTGGTAAAACTTGGATAAGGATATCACACTACTGAGATAAGGATTTTGCACCTTGGCAAAACTTGGATAGGGATATCATACTACTGAGATATGGATTTTGCTCCTTGGCAAAACTTGGATAGGGATATCACATTACTGAGATAAGGATTTTGCGTCATATACTTGACAAATCTTGGATATGGATATCACGCTACTGAAATAAGGATTTTGCGTCTTGGCAAAATTTGGATAAGGATCTCACACTACTGCGATAAGGATTTTGCGTCTTGGCAAAACTTGGATAGGGATATTACACTACTGAGATAAGGATTTTGCGTCATACACTTGGCAAAACTTGGATAGGGATAATACAGTACTGAGATAAGGATTTTGCGCCTTGGCAAAACTTGGATAGGGATATTACACTACTGAGATACGGATTTTGCGTCATATACATAGCAAAATTTGGATATGGATATCACACTACCGAGATAAAGATTTTGGATTTTGCGTCATATACATAGCAAAATTTGGATATGGATATCACACTACCGAGATAAAGATTTTGCATCTTGGCAAAACTTGGATAGGGTTTTTACACTACCGGGATGTACCGCGATGAGGATTGTGCGTCTTGGCAAAACTTGGATAGAAATATCACACCACTGAGATAAGGATATTGCGTCTTGGCAAATTTTTGGTTAAAATATTCTTTCCTACATCAATACAATTAAATGATTATATTAAAGATACCCAATTACCCACAAAAATCTAGAGATACAGAGATAGGGATCTACTGGTACAAGCAATAATTGATCCAAGGTAACTGCCTTTGCGAACGCTTTCACTTTGTCAGTTTTATTGCAAAATTTCTATTTTACGATATTGTTAAATTTGTCAGTTTTTTATGATTATGTGGTGGAACAAAATAATAGACATCACATATATTTCATATTAGTTTTAAAAATCAATCTTTTTATTTTATTTTGCAACCTAGATTGTGAGATATTGAATTAGCATAACATATTTTATTCAAAATGCTGAATGTAATTGAAATTTCAGAGAAATAAACAGCTTCTAGAGTAGCTAGAAATGAATTTGTTATACTGCGTCAATATTGTTAAATAACTAAAATGAGGCAATAAATATAATAAATTGGATATAACTCCACTTTATGGGCCATAATTCGTTTTATAAATCGTTTCTTAACAATAGGCTCTCAAAGCAATCAGCTTATATGTAAATGCATTGGACCGATTTGTAACGGCAAAGCGAAATAATCACGCACAACAACAATGCAGCACATCACCAATCGTTCATGTGTATTGCTGGAGAATACATAAACGAAGCACGTGTAGGAAAATATATTTTCTGAATTATCAAACGAAAGCATCCAAATCGTTTTACGTCTTAAGAGAACTTAGGAAATTGTGTGCTGATGATAATCCAAACTAACTTTTAATGGAATAAGTTTATTCTCCTCAAAGTCAACCTGCTCATTATGAATCTCTGCAGCTGTATTATAACAGAGGCATCCCTTTACTCTGCAAACAATTATCAGAATTCTCTTTTCGATTAGAATGAGGTGACCATGAAAAGGGTTGATGTTGTCGCCGTAACAAGCGCTTTTTCTTAGTGATAATGATAGCTTCATCTCCCTCATCGGTCTCCACAAGAGCAGTAACATGTTCAAGTTGTCTATATTTAAAATCTATTCAGCCTCAGCTTCCCAATTCTCTTCTTCTGGTGCAATTTGATCGTGGTGGTGGTGGTTTTCCACGTCATGTTATTGTTGCTGACATTGCTGTTGAAATTCTTCGCACTTTCCTCTGTTAGTATTCCTTTTATTGTTTCTCAAACAATTTTCTACATCCTTGCTGCCATTCTCGAATGGCTGCTTCAGTCTCCTCTAATTGTCATTTGTTTTCTTCTTTACTAAACCGCTCCGGTGGCCTAGTGGTTAAAGTGTCCGCATTGGATGCGGGGGTCATGGATTCGATCCCCGGTCGAGTCATACCAAAGACTTTTAAAATAATGAGCTTGGAATCAAGCGTAAGACTTACATTCAATTCAAAAAGAGAATGCAACCGAAACCTCGTCGCATTATTTATCAACGTTGGAATGCTTATGATCTGATATGGACCAAGGAATTAATTGCAATGTTAAACCACTATGAAACAGGCCAAATACATAAATGGCTGTCAAACTTCCCATCATGTTGAAAATGAAAACTAGAGCAGTCACTCAGTACCATGAAGTACAAGGTAAAAATTGCCTTGAGCTTGCATTGACGTTCTATGCGGCCCTTCAGCCATATACACAGTGACAACGTGCGCACAGAAAACTATTTAATTATTTTATACAATGTCCTTTCAAAGAGATTTTTGAAATGAAATGATCTGAGGGGAAAAGTAACAGCGAAATCATGAATTGTAACGCAAGTGACGTTCTTGTCTAATTCTTTCTAGCATCCTAAGTTGGGCTATCCCTAACGGCTCATTATGTGCAGCACATACTTTCAACTGTCAGAGTCTATCTAGTTAAACGTTTGCTTTCTCCATTCAAATCTGGAATTTAGTGTAAAAAGTGTATTGATGTTTGCAAAAACTGTAAACCCGTCCGTGAGTACAAGTATTCCCTGCACAATTTAGTGATCTTATCTACTAATTCAACAAATTCATAGTTGTGTCTTAGAGGGTGGCTAGCAAAGGAGTCAAATTGTAATTAGGAATTTGTGATCGAAAGGGGTTTTTCAAAAGAAAAAGTGGAAAAGCTTATAAAGTCAGCAATACAGGACAGTCGGTCCCTGGTAACTTTTCCAGGGGGTAGGTTTGGTACAAATGAAGGCTCAGCTCTCACTGTCAGATTCAATTTTCTTCGCCGATTCAATTTTCATTTGATGAGAGCAAATATGAATACATATCAAGGAAAAAGTCAGATATGTACAATAACATATAAGGTTATGGAACAGAGGTAATGTCAATATTATTCAACATGGGCAACCGAACCATAAGGTCCCCGTGAATATCATGTGTGCCATTCATCCATAATCAATAATAGATATTTAACCATTCACTAGTCCTTATAGTCTACCTAGGAAATACACATGTCCATTCAAACGTATATCATCAAGGAATATTCACAAACGGTGTGACTTGAAACACAGAGAGAGAGAGAGAGAGAGAGAGAGAGAGAGAGAGAGAGAGAGAGAGAGAGAGAGAGAGAGAGAGAGAGAGAGAGAGAGAGAGAGCAGCTATTTGTATTTGTCTCCATTTCGGTTTGTTGCCAAACGGTTTATCATTCGAAAACATTGTTCTTTTCGAATACTTTATATGTTAACACGCACGGATCCTTCAACTTCGGTCGATTCGGTTTCCATGTGCATAACATTATGCGTAGTGAGCGTTCCGTCAATTGTGTCTTGGCCGTCTTTTCTTGAACATCAAAATGCCATAGAATTTGCCAAAGGTTTCTTACTACTATTCTTCGTACATTATGAGTGAGTCACAGTCAATATTAACGGTAATAGTGTTTACATATTAGGGGAGGTAAATTCAGTGATGGCTATGGTTACAATGAAGTTCTAGTTTCTCCCCTTTTAGACAGATGCTTTAAATTGACCAAATAAAATATATTGGCTTAAATATTCGAAAGGACCATGAAAATAAGGAGTCAAGTATGTCATCAAGATGCAATAAAAAGATGGCTGTCTTGGAAAATGAAACTGATAATGTATTAAGACTTTTTAAAGTTATTTTCAATGCAATAAAGGTTGCGCTCTTTTGTCGTTCGCTCTTCTGTAGAGCATTTTATCTTGCGCTCTTTTGTCGTGCATTTTTTTTATAGGGGTGCCTTTGAAAACCCCATATTCGCTATAATTGCAAATTTCTAGTGCATCATTTAAAAATAATTGCGTTTGAACGTGTGACTCTCACAAACATTGGCGGATATATTCCCTGTCCCTAATATGTGTGCGGATGTGAGGTATATCTAGAACAAGAACTCAAGAAAACAGAGCAAAATTCCTTTGTAAATTTAAGAAAATAAAACGGTTACTGCTTTTCGCACAGTCATTATGGTCTTCAGCTCATCGAGAAAAGCCAAAGAAAAACGATGACAACTCATCGAAGATTTACAAAACAGAGGCACTATCTTGGATTATTTTTAACTTTATACAGGCCACAACAAAAAGTAAATATATCATGTCTTTATTTGTATTCAAAGGTATCGACATTAAATCTTGAAAAATAAAGTGCATTTTCTTTTTATTTTAATGAAACACACGACACCCCACATGGCTTTAAATGTAACCGCTTATCTGAGAAAGAAGGCCATTAATTATCCTTTATATTACATAGACGCATTTCAAGCCGAACTGTGGCTAACATTCCAATCAATTTAGGATTCCTAGGGTTGACAGTGCCATTATAAACCATACAACACCCCAAGACTTGCCAATTGTTTCCCAAAATAATTCCTGTCGAAAGGTGAAAATTTAAATGGGTCATGGTTTGCTACCATATCTTACAATTACTTTACGTGTGCACTTCCATGTGCATTTCTACCAAACTTCTTTCACAACCGCAGTACAATGACTCTTAACAACAACTTCCCCAGACCACCTTGGCAAAATTCAGTTCCTTTCATTAATATTTCAAACTAAAGGCACTTGCAAACAAAACATAATTCCGAATTAAAACCTAAATTTAGTCTTACCCAATGTTGCAAACTGACTCTTTCAATGGCAGTTATATACATGTGATCACAGTATTTTAAACTAAAAACAGAGAGAAGCCGTTAACATATGTTGTTCCCAAATAAGAAGTTATATATTTAACACGATCTAAAATATTTAACTAAGTCTAGTTGCAAGTCTTTTGACACCATTAAAAATGGCATTAATTTTATATTTTATTAAATGTTAACATTAGCATTAATCCACACCCCCTCAACGGATACCCGATTTGTACGCATATGTAGCCAATTAGGCATAAATTAGAAGCCTAGAATCCCCCCATTTAATATCCTTCGTCATTGCTGATTATTGCTCTAATTGAAATGTGCCATTGATCGTTAAATTCAGAAAGATCAGAATTTTTAAAATGATTTGCAAAATCGTGTCTAACACGCACGTACGTTTGTCCTTGTGCTTATTAAAATACACCCGGCACATTACCATGAAATGGAAGGAACAGAAACCTACCCGTTTCAAGAATGGCCATGTTCCATACAGCAATGGAAGGAACAGAAACCTCGTTGTACAGAGAATGCGACTATTAAACAGCACAAATGTCGAATTGATCAACCAGATGATAAAACGACACACGGTGCAGCTACAGAGTGGTCACTAATTAAGGTATACGTACAACAAGAAGTCAAGTGTAACTTGAGCTGGCAGATGATTTTATAATGTGGGAATTTTGACTTAATCTCACCTACATTCAAGCCGTAGAAAAAGGTACCATCCACCAAACCAAGATGCAGTGCTGCTGTAGTCAACTGGGAATTCCAGATGAGACTTCAACATACACCAAAAATACAAGGGTTAGATTCATATATACATCCATAAGTGTTCCTCCTCCAGATAGGAGTGGCAACGGACAACAATTGAATGAAGTATGTGAGAAGGATATGTCCAAGAAGCTGAAACTGGTGTATACCATGAATACGGATTGTGGCAGGACATACCCTTCTCCTATAGGTTGCATTTGATGTACGTTACAATCACTTTCGTATAGTTAGTGTTAAGACACAAGATACGCATCTTCACAGGCTGTCTGAACCGTATGTACAAATTTGAATGGTCATAATTACATCATTGCGGATGTGTGCGAAAACAAGCATTATTGGACTGGAGCATGACTTAGAAGAAAATGAATCATTGATATATGCCCCAATGGTCATGCCGATTGTGCTGCAAATATTCCATATTTAGCACCTTGCAATCAGTTTTGAAATGGGACGTGAGATTGGGACAGTTTGTGCGTCAATAAGTTCTAGTTTCGTTTAAATCAACCCTTGAGTTTCAAGAAGCATATTGAACATTGTATCCCTTGTGACAAGTGGAATGTTCTGCATATGCGACTCATCTGGGAAAGTGCCAGATTAATAAATACAAATCAGCCATATATAATAACACAATGATTCATAGTGATTTAAAAGAGAAAGTTAAAAGCAGCCACATACAGTCTTTAGTCATAACGTTAAAGCCATCTGTAGCTTTGTATTATAAAAAAATTAATGGACGAAAATGGAGATATTAAAAGACAATCAAAATGTTTTTACCCAAAGTGTTAGGTCCAACACTACACTGCAATGAAGGCGACTGTTCATGATGCAGGAGATGTTCTGTGGTGGCGGTGCCATACGTAACTCTTGATTGAATTCCATACGTCAGGGTTCAGTGTCACTAATATACAAAGGGATGAGAATGACACGCAGTTACTACTACAAGAAAAAAAAAATAAAAATGCTAAGTGAAAGGGATTCAGTGAAAGTGAGATTTTACGCAGAACACAAAAGTATGCGGCTGCAAAATAGACCTTCAGGTGTTAATCTAAGAATGTTAACTACTCCAGGAACTTTTAACGGAGATGTGCAGCAACTACTCACAGAAATAAAAAATAAACAGATTAAAATTTATGGCATAAAATGTTTGACAATTAGGTGTCAGTCTTTCAAAATTACTTCGAAGTCTTTAGATCATTAAAAAAAAAGAATCTGAACACCATAATCAATAATGTGTCAGATATGAAGTCAAATGTCATACTTTCAAAAGACTGGGCGACATTATAGTTTGCCTATAACAAGTATATTAAGATAGGGCGACATAATATAATGCCCATAACAAGTACAATATGACAAGGCGACATAATATAATGCCCATATCAAGTACAATATGACAAGGCAACGTAATATTATGCCCATAACTAGTACAATATAACAAGACGACATAATATAATGTCCATATCAAGTACAATATGACAAGGCGACATAACATTATGCCCATAACTA